CCTATGGGAAAAAAAAAAGCTCTTATAAAAATATTCACTGAAACAGGTAACAAAATATTTGTTTTATTGTTATAAAATAAAAAATGGTAGACAAGCATAAGTAGTTATAGTTCCAAAGTAGAGCAATACAAAAATGTAAATTATTGCAGTTTTAACAGAAAAGTGTAACAGCCCGGTACTGTCTCAACTGTTTTGAAACCAAGTTGGTTTTCACCATTGCAGCTGAATTTTCTTTTTCCAAATGTCTTAGCACAATTTTGTGAAATAAAGGTCTAACACCACAGAGATTAAGTTCAATGACCATAGTGTAAGCTACTCAGATTTAAAGCAAGGTTAACACATACAACATATTGTCAAAGTAGAAATGGCTTTAAAACAGAGGTTGTCACTGAACATTTCCCAAACGGCCTCTTTTCAAGGTAGTCGAATGGAAATAAGCATTCTACATGTTTGAAAGAAATAAGAAACACGCATTTACTGAAATTCCCTTTGCCTTGTGTGTAGGCGAGGGAAGTTCAACTAACACATTTTTTTTGGGGGGGGGGGTGTTAAGAGGGTGGACAATACTCATTTTACTCCAGTATCGCTAACTGCAGTCATAATCTGGACTCTCATAAATGAAAAAGAATAGAAAAAGTATGCTACAAACTAGATGCTAATAGAAATTTTAATGGTAGAGACTTGCTGTGACGTGGTTCTCAGCAACATGACCAAATTGCTGAATACACTGGACCACTTTATAGCAAGGACAATTAGGAAAGGACGAAGGGAATGAAAACACTGAGACGTAAGACAAAACCTTGTTATTCCACACAGTTTTCTACCCTTCCTCCGAGACACCTGCACTTGTGCCAGAGCCCTATTCCTCCACATTCAGGTAAGTCAGCCCTCTCTCATTCCATCACCAAAGACTGAACTTGGCAAGAATCACCTGTTGAGTTCTGTCTCTTACTGCTTTTTGCCACTAATTTTCTCAAATAACTATTTCCACCAACCTAAAGTGAAAAATGCAATTAAACACTGAAATGAAATCAATTACCTTTTTTTTTTACAGCCACATCTGAATATATTTAAGGAAAATTTTAAGAGTACTAAACTTCTTATTAAGTACTTGAAAATACTCAAACATCTTACCTTAGCATAATCCATAACATCTGTCAGTAAACTTACTGGCACAAATCAGCAAAATAACACTACAAAAACTTTACACTATACCCTTTAAAAAGTTTTCATGTCATGTAACCTAATTTTATGGCTACTAACCTGAATCTCCTATTAAGCTACACAAATAATTTATCCTCTAAAAGTTCCTACTTAACTTTAGAGCACATACATTTTGTATTTCATTTTACAAAAATGCAAGGAAATTTCTTTTAAAAAACTCAAAATAAAACCCAAAATGGCAAACATACACAAATAAAACCAAAAACAGACTTGAACGTAAACTTCAAAGTAAAAGATACACGAACAAAGCAAGCAAGCACTTTAAACCATCTTCAGTGGTAAAGAATATAGTAAAATGAAAAACCCGAGGAAATGTCAAGATGCCAACAAAATAGAATATATTGACTGTATCTCTGAAACTACTTTCCAACATGAACTTATTTTAAAAATAATCCTCAAATATATACATATATAAATGGGCACTCTGTGGTGAATTGAGAATATAATTTGAAAAAATAAACGCATTTCTTTGCTCCAACATTATACATAAGAAACTAAAAAATATTATTCTGCTGACTGCATCATCTAATACTGGGATCTTAAGTGAGTGACTTAAAAAAAAAAAAAAAAAAAAAAGACAAATTGGGATATTATATATACTAAGACCAAAGGATGACAAAAAGCTGCACAGATTTGAAAATTTTAATCAGAACAATCTTGTATAGTCACAATCACTTTGACTTTAGACTGGTTTTTTAAAAACTCAATTAAACTTGTCTAATTATTAACTGCTAGAGGCCTAGTGCACAACATTTGTGCACTGGGGGTCGGGAGGTCCCTCAGCCAGGCCTGCGCCCTCTCACAGTCAGACATCCCCCAAGGGTCTGCAGTGGAAACGAGAGGCTCCCGTCACTGCTGCTGCTCACCAGCCGCGAGCCCCTGCTTTGGACTGAGCGGCTTCCCCCTTCTCTGTGGGAGCGCACTGACCACCAGGAGGCTGCTTCTACATTGAGTGTCTGACCCCTAGTGGTCAGTGTGCGTCATAGTGACCAGTGTTCTGCTGTTCATTCGATTTGCATACTAGCCTTTTATTATATAGGATAACATAAAATAAAATCAGTCATAATTCATTCCTCTTAATCATATAAGCTCTGAAATTAGTAACAGATAACTTGCCTCTCTTTTGCCATTTTTGAAACTGAAAGTATAGCTAAGATTTTCTCCTAAACTTCCTCAGAAAGCACCACCAACTGTACAGAATAGCCAAGTATGGTAACCAATATTTGTGGTATTTCATAGTCTCTCAAGGTTAGTATCCCTTAGCCTTATTTTAAAATATACAGAAATTTCATATTCGACCAAAAAAACTAACAACAGAATATAAAATAAGTTTATCAAATATTTGGAAAAACTGCTGTGCAAAATAACATTTTTTTTTTTACTAGAATATTTTATCCAAATAAAAGTACTAGTGTGAGTACCAGCACCACAGACATTTTTAAAGAGCACCTTTCCCTTGAAGATCTTAAGTAGAAATATCTAAGTGGGATAAATCAGAGTCTCTAATTAAGACCTTGGCACATGCGTCATCCCATCTAATTGTCCTCACTCATTAGTAAACCTGCACATTTGCCAGAAATTCTTTAAGAAGCAAGCACATACTTTCTTTGGATAGCACTGTTGTGTTCAAGGCTGCACCATATGGCTCCCATTCCGGAAATATGCAGCTACCATCAAACTCAACACATCCCAGACTTTCATGGCTGTCCCAAAGTGATCTAAATAGAAACACAAATATGTGCAAGCACACTGGCTGGTAATAACCGTAATGAATTCTGCCAAGAGAGAGTCAAGTCAAATATGAAAACGTGACCAAAACAACTAAGCACTGAGATGCCTACTGGCATCATCCGGAAAAGGTTCTATTTAATTTGTAAATAAATTTATGGATTTTGATATTGCACATATTCAATTTAAAGCTTATCGAACTCTAAGGCAACATGTCCCCACTGCTGGGTTTCAATTCATTTTGGATAACTCAAAGAATTGAGAGAAACGGAAAACATCTTTCCCAAGCTCCCTCCAAAAAAGCAGTTATGACATACTTCAAAGAAAACGAAAACAAAAATGAATGAGATTATCAAGTAATACTCTTGGGCAAATTTAACACATTCTAGCATTATAAAAAAAGTTGTTTCTACTAGTTTGAGGTGTTCCTTTGCTTTAGTCAAATAGCGTTTCTGATCGACTAACATCCTACCCCAGTCAGGGCAGGCTGCCAAATTTAAGGCAGAAGTCATTTATATCTTTGTATGCATGGCACTACCAAATTATGGGCTTCCCCGAAGATTCTTTCAAGCAAAGGACCTCACCTTATAAACACAATCTAAACACCAGCTGAAAATGAACTTACAGCCCATTTTAATTTTACATCGGATGTGGCCTTTACTATGATAAATTAAAAACTTATCTAGCTGTTTGAGCCATTAGTGTAGAGCTCTTTGGAAACATAGGCAACATATAAAATCCGTTTAAAAAATGAACTTCTTTTAGCCCTGGCTGGTAGCTCGGTTGGTTAGAACATCACCCCAATACGCCAAGGTTGTGGGGTTGATCCCCAGGAATCAAACAATGACTGCATAAATAAGTGGAAAAACAAATTGATGTTTCTGTTTCTCTGAAATGGGGAAAAAAAAGAAAAAAAAAAGGGCTTCTTTTTTTTGAATTAGTTTTGTTTTTCTGGGTCAAGCAATCTTCTCTTTCCCTTTAGATTCTAAAGTTTAGAAAAATGTCCTAGAATGCTTTCTTTGGGCACTAATTTCAATGATACAGAATTTGGACAGTTCAAGGATTCTTGAACTATGATCCCAAGTGGCACACAAAATAACTTTTTTTCAAAGATAGGGCAATAATTTAACAGTACATTCAACTTGAAGATAATCTATTTGACTTACAAGTGAGGCTGGACTTACTCTGTCCAAATTCTAATACATCAAAGTCAGTAGAATGAAAATAATAATGAAAGAGAAGAGGCTCTAACTTCTATGTAGATTTGTTGACATATAAAAGCTAGATTAGCATTTTCTTCCTGAACAAACTCAGATCTGCTTTTGTTAGAAAAAAATTATATATTTTATTTTCTTGAATATTAGCTTTAAAAAGGTATTAATTCCTCTTTATAAGAGTTATTAGAAGTTAAACAATTCAACTAGATAGATTTCTACTCCAAAATACATTTATCTTTGGAAAACAAGGTAACAGTTGTAAAAGCAGTGTATTAAGAGAATAAAATGCAGTAAGATCTGAAACATGGGTAAGATATTTACACGTGAAAGTGTAAATATAATACACAGAGCCATTCAAATACACGTTTATAAAGAGAATGGAAAGTTACCTAAAATAGCATTTTTATATATAAAATTTTCATATTAAAATATTGCTCATAATAAATAAGAGGTGATATTATGAATTTACCTTCCCTCTTAAAATTGTTATCTTTAGTAGTTCAGACTAATCCAAGGTGTCTGTTAACCTTCTATTGTTCTGAGAGGTGAATTACATTAAACTATGTTTCATAAAAATCACACTGTAACAGTATACTTAAATAGCCACATGTGGTTAAAGTTAGGGAGGGCCACTCAGTAATTATGGGGGAAAAATTCCCCAAATGAACCAAAATGACGAACCCTAGAAGACTAGAGTGTGAGGATCCGCTTTCTCTCACACAGATGTTGAATACTGCCTGTAAGTTCTACAAACTTAGTGACCACACTGCAAGCCTGCCAGACCCGGAAGTGGCAGGGCACAGGAAGTGAGTGGAAGTTCAGTTCCGATGCTCATGTCAGGTGGGACCTGATGCCCGTCCGCCCCACTTGCACACACGGCAACTTGGAATAGTTCTTGAGAAGCTGTTCGATGGCGACGTGGCGGACGTGGAGCTCTGAGGCCAGAGAATCTTTTTCTTGCACTTGGCGTGTTAACTCTTCAAACACTTCTGTAAGGATTTAAAAAGAAGTCCCATTTTAGTGCACAGAGAGCTAATGCTCTGATTTATACTTCAAGTACTTTAACACGCATTGGGTGAGTGTTTGCAATTAAACTGATTTGATAAGGCCCTGGCCAGGTGGCTCAGTTGTTTGGAGCATCATTCCGTACACCAAGGGTTGTGGGTTCGATTTCCAGTCAGGGCACCTATGTAGGTTGCGGTTCAATGCCTGTTGGGGTGCACATGGGAGGCAATCGATCGATGTTTCTCTCTCTCTTCCCCTCTTCCTTTCCCTTTAAAAATCAATAGACATACCCATGTGTGAGGATAAAGGAAGGGAAAAAAGTGAATCAACACAATGGAAGCAGTTTGATCATTCTAGGGTGTTGCATACTTTGCCCAGTCAGCTGGAATAGGGTATTCCTTTTCTCCATCAAGTGAAACCTAAGCGTCATAGCAATGACTATTTATATGCGTAACAGGAATCGCAGTCACTATTACCTGAGACGCTTTCTCAATTTCAAAGAGAAACAGGTTCGGTCAGTACCTAACATGACTTATGGGAAGTAAGTGCACATTAATGCCTTGATCTGGAAATCCCTCTAAGAGGCTTTGGGATCAGACTGCTTGGGATATTTAATCCTGGTTCTCAAAAGTCTCAGGCAAGTAACTTATAAGCTATGTTTTCATTCCCCTTATGTATCAACTTGATGACAGTAGGACCTTCATAGGGTTACTGTGAGGATTCAACAGGTCATACTTGGAAATAATAATGAAATAGAAAAGGCTCTAACTTCTTCAAGTACCACAGAATAAGTACTTGACAAATCTAAGTTGCTATTACTATTATTAGTTTAATAAAGGCCCAATGCAGGAAAATTCATGCAAGAGTAGGCCTTCCTTCCCCTGCTGCCTGCATCGGCTTCACTCCGGCCACTGGCAGGCACCGAGGACCCAGGCTGGCTTCCCTCCAGCCCCGGCTTCATCAGGAAGGACACTCAGAATGACGTCCAGTCTAATTAGCATATTACCCTTTTATTATTATAGGTTATTCTGAGAGAATCTGTGGTCAAGAAATACCACTTAGCATTGGGGTTATAAAGACAGGGTTTAGAATCTGATACTGACTGAATGCATGATTTCTGTAAGCAACTTAACTGTCTCTGAAATGTAGTTTACTCACCGAAATGAAATGGGAATAAGTCGTGAAAACAAGAAAAGAGACAATTGGGATTCTGAACACTAACTATTAAACTATTGGCGTTAGCATTGTATTTCATGATGTTGAAGATTCACTGGCTGCCCTAGCAGGTTTGGCTCTGTGGATAGGTCGTCAGCCCACAGACTGAAGGGTCCCGGGCTCAATTCTGGTCTAGGGCATGTACCTCAATCGCAGGCTTGATCCCCTGGGCTGCTGTGGGAGGCAACCAATCGACATGTCTCTCTCACATCAATGTTTCTCTCTCTCCCCTTCCTTCCATTCTTTCTAAAAATCAATAGGAAAATATCCTCAGGTGAGGAGTAATAACAACAACAAATATGTGTGTGTGTGAGAAAATATATATATATATATATATATATATATATATATATATATATATTTTTTTTTTTTTTAAATCTTTATTTATTTATTTTTTAAATACTCCATGCTGGGGGTGGGGTAATGGGAATGGGTGAAAGTAGAGATGAAGGAAAATTTAGCTCTGCTTTTTGTAATAGTTGAACTGATGAAGATAGGTCAAGGAGTTCACTATGCTGTTCTTAATATTTTTGTGTTTGAAATTGTTCAAAGCCAGGGCTAATACCTTAAAGACCTGTTATGGAGTTCACTTGCATAGTAAAATATTAGTAAGAAGGTAGAGGTTAAAGTTGTAGTCTCCATTTTCACTTCCACTCTAACAGGCTCTAATCCAATTTTCTAATTTAATTGCAGATGGAGCTAATGATACCCTGTGGTAGGGGATTTTCTGTATCAAAATTCTCACAGGCAAAAAAACACTGACATTGATTCTTTACCCTGTATTCGCTGTTGGAGCTTTGCATTCAGTTGCTTTACCTCACCAGAAGTCATCGAATTCACTGAAACATGAAAATATATTCATTATCATTACAACAATTTGGGAAAATAAGCTGCCTACATCACTAACACAATATCCTATTTTTAAAAAAATCTGTATTTACAAATAATAAAAAATTGTACTTATCTGCCAACATAAAGCTCAGCAGTATTCTAGGATTCACTCATTAACCCCTGCAGAGTGGAGTTTTTGAATCCTAACCTCAACCCACAGTACGTCCCCCTGCAACAAAAGTTTCATTGAAAAGCACTTAGATCCACTGGATCCTGATATATCCAATCTTGTTTCAATTTTTACAAAGTGCCAGTCAAGTCAATTTTGCTGAAATACTACATAATAGTTCATGATCCCCAGTGAAAAACTTTGGAAACAGTCTGAAAAACTAAGTTATCTATCTAGTTATGTGATCTTATAGATATGTAGAGTCAAGAAGTTTTACAAAAATATACCCACGGTCCCTTCTTACTTAAAATAATTCGATTTAAGTCAACTAAAATTATCTCAGCTTCTGTGGGTTTCTGTAATGCAGGCTGACTGAGTCACTTTCCCCCCTTTACCACATTACCTTTGGCCTTCAGTAAAATGTCACATTTTCGCTTTTGAAATGCCACTCCCAGTCAATTAATCTCACAGGGATTGGCAGTGTGACAATATGAGTGAGCCAACTGTTAAGGCTTTATTTCTAAACTAGATGAGGCCTGAACTTTCTAAATCAGTTTGTTGACTCCATTTATTTAATCATTTAAATGGCAAAACAAATCATGGTACTGCAGAATTCTAATGCATAGGACACACAGAGAGCTGATGGAGAGTTTTAACCCTCCTCAATTTTTTTATGGGGTGAACTTATTATCATTTAAATACTTTACCAAATCTACGAGTCTACAGGAAAATTCCTGAAACATCCCTTATGTAAATATGTAAAAAAACAAACAAAAACCCACCCAATGAAATGCCAACCTCCATCTTTCTCCCACTTACTTACATTCCTCTCTGCTGTAACGTGGATGCTGGGTCTGGACACTAGCCTCTGGATTGGAGATGTTGTCTTCTTTCTTCTGTGCCTGGCTGTGAGTAGGAGGCCACAATACACTATTGTGGCACAAAGTGAGCCCGAAGTCTGAGTTTTCCCTCTGCTGCAATATTCTTTGTGTACAGTCTGAGAGGCCTCCCGTGCTTCCATCTAGCCACTTTGCAGAATACTTTGGTACCTGGGAGTCAAACTGTGGGAGTAGCTTTTTATCTGGCTTATGCCTGAAATTAAACAGGTGATGCTGGGGACGTTTAGAACATTCCGGATCCGAATCCACATCCTTATTTTGTGCGTACTGTATAATCCAGTTTATCTTCTTACTCAAGATGGCTTTAACGTCTTCATAATAAGTATTTTTGGAAAGCTTAGATCGAGGACAATCCTGGTTTGCAATCAAATGGTATTTTTCAAAGCAGTCTTTATGGCCCCTTAATGATGTGGTGTGCAAGAGATTAGATTTTGGAATTCCTATTAAAAAAAAAAAACAACATAAAACAACAAGATGAGAAAATTTCATTTTCTAAATTGCATTACAAATCTTAGGAAAACACTGAGTCACTGATAGTTTGCAAATGAGAGGAAAAATTCCAGAGAAGATTAGTATTAACAACATAAAATATGGTCTAATAATTCGGCTTCAATTTAACTATATATTTAGTAATGCTAAATTCCTATGAATAGCAACGCCTTTTTAAGAACTTAAAAGATTCAATTTTAACATTTATCTAGGGGTATGTTATTGTATACAATATAAATAAAATAATGAGCCCTGCCGGTTTGGCTCAATGGATAAGAGCGTTGGTCTGCGGACTGAAGGGTTCCAGGTTCCATTCTGGTCAAGGGCATGTACCTTGATTGCGGGTACATCCCCAGTAGGGGGTGTGCAGGAGACGCCTGATGGATGTTTCTCTCTCATCAATGTTCCCTATCCCTCTCCCTTCCTCTCTGTAAAAAGTCAATAAAATATAAAATAATAATAATAATAAGGAACAAGCAATTTATATTTACACTCTTGGCCTTTACATTACAGGTAGCTCTATTCTGATACTTGTAATCCTTACAACTCAGGATACACAGCAAATAGATAGAACTTGAAACCACCTACTTTTCTATCTTCAGGAAATTTATTAAAGAGCTTCCTCACGCTCTATAAACTGTTAGGTGTTGTTGCCAAAAGATGACTAGCCAGTCCCCTGGCCAAACAGTCAATAGTCTCATTCTCCTTCCATTGCCACAACTCTAATCTTTTATATGCTAAAGAGTTTTTTCTTATATTGACTTGAAGGCGACTTTAATTACAAAAGTATTATATTTTACAATATAAAAAGGGTTCTAGGTTTTAAACTAGGCTACCCAAAGTAATTTAGCTGTTAAATTTTAAAAATTTATCTAGAAACTTCAGAAATTGTATTAAAAATTATATGAAACAATAAATTTCCCAATGTACCCCGGAGCTTTAACAACAGGTCAATGTAACAGGTGTGTACTAAAAAAAATAAAAAATAAAAAAATAATGTGGGCTTTTAAAAGTTAAGGCTTTTTTTTTTTTTTTTTTTAAATTCCAGATTGTAATCTGTTGAGATGAACAGCAAATCAGAGAACTACCTATTCAATTTACTGTGAAAATATATACTATAGTATATGTGACTAATAATTCAGATTCTTTCAGAAATCCAGGAGAAAAGGCCCCTAAAAGAGACCTGCGGGGAAAAGTGTCAGGGCAAGAGTTCTGACACGGTGCACATTTCCACCTAGATGTACTATGAGCTTCTCAAACTCAGCCGCTTAATAAACCCCTTTCTCCTCTCACTACCCAACCCCCAATCCCGGAGCCTCTTCCTGAGCCTGGGATCACCAGCCTCTTAAGGAAGAGACCTGGCATCCTCCTTGGCAGCTCCTCACCTCCTCCCCTACCTTCTGAGATGGTCTGCTGCCCACCTTCATAGACTTTGCCCCATAAAATCTAGCAATACAATTCAAATCCTGCTTCACTCTATGGTTACCACTCCCGTTACACTGTCTGGATCATCTCCTGTCTAGTTCTCATTGCCTCTAAGAAACCTTTTCTGACCAATACATCTATCAGTTCAATACTAGATTCTCCAATTGCCTCTTCATCTGCCTTTAGTTCCTGTAGCAAGTTCTGTGAGAAAGGGTCACTATTTTAAAGGGTCTCTATTTTACATGCATCCTCAATGTCACAGTGCCTGGCATTCAGTGAGGACTCCAGAAAAAGTAGTTAAATGAATAAAGGAAAATTAAAATCATATAAAAAAAACACAACTTATTGCCCATTATCATTCAAGGTCTACTGCAATGAGATTTCCCCCCCATCCTAGCCAGGGAATCAGGAGGGCAGTGCTGCCAGGCCAGGCTGCTCAGAGGTAAATAGAGACATCTTCCAGTAAACTCGCTCCCACATTTAGTCTAACGGGCCATTAGTCTGAAGAACTGAGAGTGGCACTGATACAGAGATGCCATTCCTGTGGCATCATTCAACCTGCCAAGCGCAATCAGGAACTTCTATTCAATTACGTACTTCCAACAGAAATTTACATAGACTGAGTATTTTAAAAGGTTGCTTTATGTAAACTGCAGCTTGTGCACCCAGATCTGTACCTCTTCTTTTAGCTCACTAAAAATGTAAAACCTGACTGAGTTGTAAAGTTCATTTGGAAAATATCTGCTATATAAACATAATTTAAAACATCCCATGCAGTAGCAAAGGACACAAAAAATTAAAAAAATATATAATGCATTGACTACTTCAGATACTTGAACAAATTACTTTTTAATCTAGAAAATGGAAGTAGCACACTTAATTTGTATCCAATATACATGCCATCTTATAAATTCTTGAAGTGATTTTGGTTTTTTTCCACCTCATCAGTTCGAATTAATGTAAGAGAAAAAACAATTGCTTTTTTTTTCAGAGATTCTAGAGGTTCCTAACTGACTCTATAATTTCATTGCATTTACAATATCAACAGCTTTGAGCACTAATTTGTTTCCTCAGCAGCTTTTGATAGGGACCGAATCTAATCACAATGGACCGAGTTGAGACTTTTGAGGAGCCGAGTTATAAGGAACTTCTAAACCAGTTCAACAAAAACTGCACTACAACTTGCTTACTAATAAAAGTTTTGAAGGCCAATGTAATTGACATCCTAACTATGTAACTTCTTTAAAAAAACACTTCAATGATGTCCATGTGAGTCTGTTTTTGTCATGAGGTCATTATTTTTAGATAACCAAGACCCTAATTGGCAATCATAATTCCTAATTTTTTAAAAGTACTAGTTTTAGATAGAGGCTTTTAGAAATTTACATAGGCATTATATTTCCATATGAACAGTGGCATTTTAAAAAAAGTTAATATGTCTCTATTCAATAGTTTTCCTTCCCTCCCTGATTTTGTTATGCTACTCTCACATCCTTTGAGAACCCTCCCACTAACCCATCTGGCATGCTATCATCGTTTCAATTCTTTAAGTTCCCCTTGAAGATGAGTTCACTTTAAGAAAACTTGGTTAAACCCACAGAAGAGCAAAAGCCACTCAAATGTTTTCCTACTAGTTATCCTTTTAAAAGGATATTTCCACGCTTACATTTAATCTATCATAGTGACATAATAAGATGACACTCCAAAATAGCCCCCAGAACACTTACATTCTATCACATGCCCATTATCCTCATCTTTTCCACCTAGCCTCTTGGCCTTACTTATGATTTGGTTGCAATGAGCAAAGCTAAGCAATCTTGTCTTTTCTAAAATATTTTATTTTTATTGATTTCAGAGAGGAAGGTAGAGGGAAAGATATAGAAACATCAATGATGAGAAAGGATCATTGATCAGCTGCCTCCTGCATGCCCCCTACTGGGGATCAAGCCCACAACCCAGGCATGTGCCCCTGACCAGAATCGAACCCAAGACCCTTCAGTCCGCAGGCCGACACTCCATCCACTGAGCCAAACCAGCCAGGGCTAAGCAAGCAATCTTTTCTTGATGGTTCACCAACTGATTCGTTACACAGCACGGTCTCTCAGCTGATCACACTCATACTGCTGGGCTCTGTAGTTCACACGCTCGAATGGTATCATCTGACTCTGATCACTCCATTTATTTCTCAGTTAAAGGCATGGCTTCAAGTAATGTGGTATTCCAAATAGAATACAACCAGTAGCTGGAGGTAAAGCTGTAATACGCGGTAGCAAGCACTTCGACTGTAACTTCAGACTTAAAACAGAATTAGAAAATTGGCACTGTTGGTTTTCCAAATGGTGGTTTCTGTGTTTTCCCTTAATATTTAAATGAGTCAAGAAAATTTAGTTATGATTTAAGTTCTAGGTTGTTAACATGCTGTGAAGGAATTTTAAACATATTGCCTTCACACATTTCCGACAATTTGTGTGGTACTGCTTCAAAGTCTTTTCTTTATGAAGGCTCACATTTCGCCTAGCTTAAAGAATTTTCCAAGAGTGAGGTATTTCCCTTTTTATGATGGTCCTATTTTGGTTGCACGTCCATATCAAGAATCCTGAGCTTTAAGTAAGTGCTTATTGTAAAAAATGGGGAGATAGCCCTAGCTGGTTTGGCTCAGTGGATAGTGTCGGCCTGCAGACTGAAAGGTCCCAGGTTCTGTTCCTAATTAAGGGCATATGCCCAGGTTGTGGGCTCGGTCCCCAGTGTGGGGTGTGCGTGAGGCAGCAGATCCATGATTCTCTCTCTTCAGTGATGTTTCTCTCCCTCTCCCTTCCTCTGAAATCAATTAAAAAGTTTATTAAAAACTTTTTAAAAGTGTGGAAATAGCTTCATTTTGTTGTACTGAGATGTTATGTCTTTGTTTTGGGGATAAAATTCCTATCCTATATAATACAACCCTAGTATGCAAATTGACCGAACTGAAGAATGACTGGTCATTATGACACACACTGACAAATAGGTCACGGTTTGATTCCAGGTCAGGGCACATGGCCAAGTTGTGGGCTTGATCACCAATAGGGGTGAGCAGGAGGCAACAAATCGGTGATTCTCTCTCATTATTGATGTTTTTCTCTCTCTCCCCCTTGCTTGTTCTCTCTCTGAAATGAATTAAAAAAAAAAATTAAAAAAAAAGGAATAGAGGAAAAGCTGTGGAAGTAGAGGTGGCACACCCACATCCTGAAGTCTGGATCCATATTGAAGTTTTGTTTAGACTATGAGTGTCTTAAAAGAAAAAAAAAAAAAAAGATTCACATCCAATTTTCAGTTTCTTGGTTTCTCTTAAAAACAAACAAGCAAAAACCAAAAAACCAAAGAAGATCTGGCAGCAATTGGTTAGTAATGAGCAGGAGCTACTGGCTGAGATAGGGCAAGTGCTCTTCAATTCAAAACAGTTACCATTTCCCTCAGATGAGTAAGTACCTATGACCTAGCAGGTAGCGGCAACCTAGCAGGCTCTGCAGCCGAGCTGGTTAGCGACACATGA